CACCCAAGGTCACCTTACAGCAAGCAAACTAGTAAAAACAGTAACAATAAATAAACAAGTCCTGCCAGCATTACAAAATTCAACAGCACAACTGCATGCATCATGAATACAATAAAGGCTTACAAGAGCAATAACAGCAATTAATAAGAGCAAGTCATAAGAAAGCCTGGCTAAAAAGATAAGTCTTAAGACGAGATTTAAAAGTATGAAGGCAGTCACTGTTCCGTATATTGGGGGGAAGAGAGTTCCATAGGCGAGAGGCCGTAAAACTAAAAGTTCTTGCTCCCATGGTGCTTAAACGTATACGCGGCGACACAAGAGAGATCGAGTGTGAAGATCTGAGAATGCGAGAAGGAGTATAGATGTGGAGATGGTCCGTAAGATATGGTGGAGCAAGGTTGTGAAGTGCCTTAAATGTGAGAAGCAAAATTTTAAAATCAATGCGATACTTTACTGGGAGCCAGTGTAGACGTTGGAGAACTGGAGAAATGTGCTCTATTGATGAAGTCCTAGAAAGAACACGAGCTGCTGAGTTCTGAACCAATTGAAGTTTATAGAGAAGTTTAGAAGGAAGACCAGTAAGGAGAGCATTACAATAGTCGATACGTGAGGTAACCAGTGCATGAATAAGAATTGCAGTATTATTCATTGTGAGAGAGGCATGAAGGCGATTAATGTTACGCAGGTGAAAATACGCAGTACGCGTAATATTATTGACATGAGCTTCAAAAGATAGTGTGCTATCCAGGATGACACCCAGACTCCTAACCTGCTGAGAAGGACAAATTGCATTATTATCGATGTCCACTGTAAAACAATCAGATTTAGCCAAAGTAGATTTTGTACCGATAAGTAAGACCTCATTTTAGCACTGCGTATATCTGAATAAAAGATAAGGACTACCATATTGGGTGTGAAAGTGCATTGTGGGGACCATACGTGGGTTTGCCTTGTTAGGAAGTCAGATATTCATGTATAAACACAGAGAGGAGGAGGGTGTGTGAAAGAGATGTAGGGAGAGAAAGAGGATCAGGAGGGTGCTGCTTAATATCTGACACAAGGACTTAAGAATGTTCAGAAAGAGAGAGAGGAGGAGGAGGAGAGGGGCTGGCATTTCCCATGCTGGCCTTTTGTAATGAGCAGCGGTCCCAGAGGGCTGGGCCGAGCCGGGTTACACAGAGAGCACAATCACAGAGCAGGACCACGTGTTTCCTCACACACAAGCACACTGGACGGCACTCGAGCAAACACACAC